GCAGCTTTAAGCTTCACATTTTAAAATTAGTTAAGATGTGACAGGGTGTTTCATAAGGCCGTGCCAAATCAAAGTTATGTTTTTTAAATGGAACACCCTGTATATTTTTATATTTTTAGAATCTGCTCGATAATCTGATTTCAATGATATATCACACTTGTTATCTAATATGAATAGTAAAGGATCTACAGCTACTCAAAAATCACATTTTTTCAAATTCAGGTGCCTGTTGTCGCCAAACAGTTGGAAATCGAGGAAAACGGCTTACAGTCCCTATCCTAACTTTTTAAGGTCTATTCAGTGACATAAAATACATATTATTTGATACAGGGTGATCAAAAATCCAAAATCACATCCGATTTTTGATCACCCTGTATCAATTAATATTTTTTGCCACTGAATAGACCTTCAAAAGTAAGGATAGGGACATGTAAGCCGTGTTCCTCGATTTCCAACTTTTTGGCTACAACAGCCAAAATTGAAAATTAACCTAAACTGCACGAATATCTTTGGATGATGTTTTCTCGGAAACGGCTGCTCCAATCGAGATCAAACAAGTATTCCTTTTTGACGTAGTTTTCAATGTAGAATGTAAAAAAAATATGGATAAGTCATTACCAAAAACACAAAAAAGTTATGAATAATCAAAATTTTCAAAAAATTCCCAAGTACACCCCTGACGAAATAATTTCTTTTTGAAGGTGTCAAAAGGTCACTATTATTGATCATATTTAACAGCCAAAATTTGGTTCTTTTATTTGTTTCCATTTTTAAGAAAATTCAAAAAATCAAAATAAAAAAAATGATTTCGAGAGGCTGTTGCTCGCTTAGGGGGCACTTTAGGACATAGGTCTATAGGAACTTTTTTGCCATTTTTTGGTTAAGGAATATGCCTGAGAATTTTGGGACACATTTTAAAGGACACCCTGTATAATTTCTTTCTTGTTGACTGTATGATTCCCTTTTGTAAACTGTATAATTTCCTTCTTGTAGACTGTATAATTTTCTTTTTGTAAACTGTATCATTCTCTTCTTGTAGAAAGTATAATCTATTTCTTGTAGACTGTATAATTTTCTTTTTGTAGACTGTATAATTCCCTTTATGTAGACTGTATAATTCTCTTCTTGTAGACTGCATAATTCTCTTCTTATAGACCGTATAATTTCCTTCTTGTAGACTGTATAAATGTCTTTTTGTAGACAGTATAATTCTCTTCTTGTAGACTGTATAATTTCTTTCTTATAAACTGTATCATTCTCTTCTTGTAGACTATATAATTTATTTCTTGTAGACTGTATAATTCCTTTCTTGTAGACTGTATAATTTCTTTCTTGTAGACTGTATAATTCCCTTCTTGTAGACTGTATAATTTCCTTATTGTAGACTGTATAATTTCTTTCTTGTAGACTGTATAATTCCCTTTAGGTAGACTGTATAATTCTCTTCTTGTAGACTGCATAATTCTCTTCTTATAGACCGTATAATTTCCTTCTTGTAGACTGTATAAATTTCTTTTTGTAGACAGTATAATTCTCTTCTTGTAGACTGTATAATTTCTTTCTTATAAACTGTATCATTCTCTTCTTGTAGACTATATAATTTCTTTCTTGTAGACTGTATAATTCCTTTCTTGTAGACTGTATAATTTCTTTCTTGTAGACTGTATAATTCCCTTCTTGTAGACTGTATAATTTCCTTCTTGTAGACTGTATAATTTCTTTCTTGTAGACTGTATAATTCCCTTTATGTAGACTGTATAATTCTCTTCTTGTAGACTGCATAATTCTCTTCTTATAGACCGTATAATTTCCTTCTTGTAGACTGTATAAATTTCTTTTTGTAGACAGTATAATTCTCTTCTTGTAGACTGTATAATTTCTTTCTTATAAACTGTATCATTCTCTTCTTGTAGACTATATAATTTCTTTCTTGTAGACTGTATAATTCCTTTCTTGTAGACTGTATAATTTCTTTCTTGTAGACTGTATAATTCCCTTCTTGTAGACTGTATAATTTCCTTCTTGTAGACTGTATAATTTCTTTCTTGTAGACTGTATAATTCCCTTCTTGTAGACTGTATAATTCCCTTCTTGCAGACTGTATAATTACCTTCTTGTAAACAGTATAATGCCATTCTTGATTAGGCTCGAAGGACCCAAAAGCTGTTATATTTCTTAACAGTGATGGCAAAATCAAACGAAAGAATCAAAAGTCAGAAATTTAATTTATTTTCGTTCAGAGAGTAAAAAATAATAATGTCATGTTTATAAATTAATGACAGTTCAAAAAAAATATATAAAATTCTAAGGTGACCAAACGATTGCTTAATTTTTTTTTTTTTTAATAATAACCTTTTAATCGAAAATGGTTGGCTATATTATTATAGGCACCCACACTTGAAATTTTCTGATCTGACAGTTGAATACCCTTAATTATTAGAAATATTTTTCATAATTATTATTTGTATGATTGTATGATTTATAGACAATAAATTTATGATTATTAAAATTAAATCATTTTCCGCAATAGTTTTCCAGACCTAATACGTCAGATTTTCCGGATACCGTCCTAAAATGGTAACACAAAACGTGTAAATTCTCGAACCTTCAATAAGGTCGAAAACGGTAGAAAAATAGTATGAAAATTGAACCGATTTTCCGGCAAATGCAAGGGTTCAGGCCGGGAAAAGATCAGATGCTGCAAAATAATGATATCCCCACCCCGTCTGTCGGTCTAGCACGCACTCCCTCCACCGACGCTTCGTCGCAGAATTACCGAGGACTTCTCTCTATGCCGAATTTTCCCAGTCCGGATTTTCCATTTTCCACTGGTGGAACGGTATTGTCCACGAAAATTAAGCGGCTCGCGTCTATGACAAAAAGTCCGCATGATATGGTTGTTTAATAATAAACATTTTTCTTGAATTATTCTTGGATTTCCTTTTATGATAATATTCTCTTTTCTATAGACCCATTTAGTGTGAAAAACTTTAAAACTTGTGCTGTATTTTTTTAAAACTATTCGTAGTTAGTGTTTTGTTCTGTAAATGTTGAAAAATTTAAACACTATTGTGGAGTGTCTTTTAGGATTATATATACTTCTGGATGATTGTAGGCAAGTCGATTTTTTTTCCCTCAAATTGACGACTAATTAATTTTACATCAAGAAATTTAATTTAATAATAATATTTATAGTAAATACTTAAAAACAAACGATCATAGTACACATTGAAATTGTGATTGATGATTATGATGACTGTTATGCAAAAAATACAGATCCAAACACTTAAAAAATAGGTATCCTGTTCAGAGGTGAAAAGTACTTCAAAACGTATTTAATAAAATTAAAGAAAAATTATTAATTTTGTATATAATTCTTATATTAAATAAATGAGACAGTATAAGATCAGTTTTGCTAACTTTCCAGCATGAAAATACGTTTTGTGGAAAACTATTTAAAGAAGATATAAATAAAATCAAACAAAGACTTTTAAATACTAAAAAAAATGTTTGAATTATTTTAAATTGTTAATTTTATGAATACGAAATTATTGACTACAATTACCTAATAAAAAATAACGGAAATAAAGTAATATTATTGTATACATCTAAAATATAACAATATTTTTCATTTCATTGACTCATTTTTATAATATTTTAATATAAAACAGTAAGAAATATTTATGAAATTTGCATCTAAACAAAATTCTGCATATACTTAGACAATTTGTAACGCTTTAATATTTCTAAATTGTAATCTGTGTCAAATTTTTAATAGTTAGTGTAGATCTTGGTAGATCAAATTTGAAAAAAAATATTTTTAATTTCAAATTTTTAATTCCCTACTAAGCAATTTAAGAGCTTATATTCCTATATCAAAATTCATCAATTATTGAGAGATCTCTGTGATAGAGCGTTGTCAGTCGAATATATTAACACCCTGTGTATAACATTATTATAAATGTGTCCTTCACAACCTTCGTGAGTCATCCAAAACCATTTGGTTTAAAAATATATTTTTTCTTTTTTGGGGTTATATCCTACAGGATAATTTACCCAGATGACACAAACTTTTGTTTTATTCACTTTGGCAAGAGATTAACCAATTTTTACAAAGAAATAAACTGCTTTTATACTACAAGTTCTTTTTACTGAGGCCCTTCCTATGGAGCCTCAGTATTTTTTAAAACTTTTTTCATGTTTCCGATCATTCTGAGTCCGAAAATGCAAAAAAAAATTTTCGTCTGGTCGTCTGTATGTATGATGGCACGATAACTCTAGAACGAAAGTTCTGATTGACTTGCGGTTTTGATTTTCTTGAATAATTACTTCTAACTTAGAACCCTATTGATTTTTAGATATAAACCAAAATTAATTACTTCAATTGCTGATAAAGATTATGGGGCAGTGGAAGATGTCGCAAATGAAGAGGAACAGAATACTCGAAAAGAAAAGCTCCAGAATATCTTAAAAAAAAACGTCAGATAAAATTAATTTAGAAATAATCACAAGAGGGCAACATTTAAATCCGTTATGGCATCAGGCATGACAGTATAGGCTGACTGCATCTAATTTTGGAATGATTTGTAGATTTTTATGATCCAGGACGTAAACCCCAATATAACATCATAAATTAATGACGAGAATTTCTAAAATAAAAATCTTTAGCTTTATTATTTGTTCCAAAATAAAATCTTTGGTTTTCTTCCTAAAATTTTCCTTAAATTCTGGTCTTAAATTTTAATCAACAAAGAAACTTTTACAGTGTCTTTAAATTTGAGAATATACAGTAATTATTAATCCCCATAACCTCCAAAAACCTCAACAAATTTAGACATATTTGACATACATATGTCATTCTTATTAATTCAAACAATTTCAAATGCAATTTTCAATATTTTAAATATCACAACACATAATAACAATAAATTCATATAAAATAAATCACATTATTAGACATATATACTTTTATTTTTGGTAACTAGACTGATTAACAAATATTTTTCAATTTAAAATTATTTCGTTTTTTATATGATGATAAACATATTTGATATTTTGTGCCACAACGTTCGTCCATAATCTTGTAAATCTTAGAACATAATGAATTTCTGAAAAAGAAAAAAATATTATCTATTTTGAAATGTTTTAAACTGAAAATATAGACTTACATACGTGTTTTTATCTAAGAAATCAATTCTATTATTTAAATTACGCAAATAACAAGTTTCATAATAAATGAATCTATGAAAAGAAATGCATTTTTTCTAAAACTTGTTATATTCTTTTTTTTTATTTTAAAAATCATCAACTAACAATTTTAATTGCTGCTAAACAGTTTGTAATATCTTAAAAAAACACAATTATGACCAAGTGCTTGATTAAGAGTAGAGATAATTATAAGAACTTTCGTTTTTTATTAAAATTTTGGATATTCAATCATAAAATATTACTTTATTTCTTTTTTACTGTATTTTTAAGTAGCTGTCATATACCTTCAAAATAACAAATTGGTTTAAACTAATTATTTCAAATTAATAAGTGAAACAATAAAAATATAAAAAAATATTAACGATTAATCAAAATATTAGAAAGAACAACCAATAAGAATATGCCAACAAAAAATTGTAGTTATTTTAAAAGAAGAAAAATAAATAAAGAGTTTTTTTTCTCTTCTTGCTTTAATTTATCTATATTTATTACATATTTACAAATATATAATAAAATTAATAGATATTTAATTAATAATAATTGTATTCTTTTAAAATTAATTGGGTAGACACAAAATATTTGTGTTGTTTTAAAGAAATAATTTTCTAAATTTACAAATATTTTATTTGTTTTTGAATTGTGATTATGTACACTTAAATTAAAGTTATTCAATTTTCATTTAATATTTGTAATTAAGCATCATAAATCTACGTTTTTATTAAATTTAATCTCATTATGATTTATATATTATTTTTTTTAAAAATTTAGTTACTTACCGCTGGATCTCTGTTATAATTACATTTAGTCAGTTCCCAAATTTTGGTCAAGTAATCTGAACCTAAAAAAAAATATAATATTTATAATAACGTACAACATTTCTGATCCAAAAAGATTCAAAATCATCAATAGTAAACGCCAGGGTGTAGAAAATTTTAAGTAAAAAGATTTCCCTCCAAAGAATTGCAACAAAATCACTGATTTGCTATATTTATTTGTTTCAAGAAAACTTTATTCTGATCATTCAGTTCTAATTCTATTCTTACCAACAAAACTACTAAATGGGGAAGATTTAAAATTGAAAACAAAATCAAAATAAATATACGTTTAAAAAAAATATTTCTTTGTGCAATTCAAGAAACGATGGGATAAAACAAGATCCCAGGCATTCTGACTGGTTATTGTCAAATACGAAAGCATCTGCATAGAATTGAACTGTCAGAAACCGTAGTCTGCAGGAGCTGCGAACAAGAAGATGAGACTAAAGAAAATAAACAGAGTTCAGTGCATAAAATTCCTATAAATAAGCTGTTTGAGATAAATCATGCAAGTATACTCTAACACTAAATTTACTTGTCACTTTTTATTATATTACAGTTAGGATGAGTTGAATTTGAAATAAAAAACTTTTCATTTGAGCTAAAAAATTGAGCGTTTTCAATGCGATGACGTAGCACCGCCAGTAAATGTAAAAATAGTAAAAAATAAGAATAAATTAGGTATATACCTTTTTTATTTGCTTCATCAGCACATTTGAGGAAAGATACGACTTCTTTCTGAAGGTTTTTCGGTATATAATATTTTAATTTTTCGTCATCCATAGTAAATTTGCTGTCCATCTAAAATAAAAACGTAAATAACTTATTTCACCTTAAATAGCTATTTATGAAACCAGTTATGAAATGCTTTATTTTATGTAACGAGTGAATATTTGCGGAATGAGCAGAGCGAGATCCTGCAACATAAACAAGTTAAATAGAATATTTTTTCTAATTTTGACTGGATTATTTAAAAAATTGTTTGTTGGTTTTCATGAATACATTCTAGAGGCGTTAATTGGCTTTGACTCTATAAAATTTTGATTTTATAGAGTCAAAATACAGGAATGTAAAATAGTTATGGTCTGGGATAATTTAATCTTCTAGTAATTTATGATTATGTTTTACTGCTTGCAATCTTTCCTCTAGTTAAACAATTTTCAATGTATTCTTCCATTTTCTTGATCTCGAATCCATTTTTAAATTTGTTAATAACTGTAATATTTTTTTACCCAATATTTCTTGTTTTTGGTATACTCTGTTTGCTTCTTCCATTCTATTTTATAATATTTTCTTAGATATATAGAATTTACATAATAAAACTTTTTTTAATAGTTTTTAAAAATGTTTAAATATTAATATTATCACAAGTTGGTTTTTATAAACAAAAAAAGGTTACTTAAATGTCCTTAAATGTCAAAATTAGAAAAAAAATAATATAAATAAATAGAAGCGGATTAAAAAGTATACATACACATCCTGACATTAACCAGAGGCAAGCAAGGTATTTCTAAAAAAAAGAAGACCCATTAATCATAAAACATGATATTTTAGATATCAAAATATATTTTCTAAAGCTATGAATGTTTGTCTTACTTTAATTTCTAATTTTTCAGTGAAATCTCCTTTAATTATGGCATCTATCATTTCTTGATTTGCATCAGTAAGCACAATACAGCTATCATGCCATCTAACAGAATCTTTTGCAAGATTTTCACCGAAATCCTTAAAAAAACATAAAAATTATGACTTACTTATTATATAGAAACAAAAACAATGAAAATTATTTTTAAATCGTCAAATTTTAAAATTTATATATAATAAAAAAATTTAACAAAAGTTTGTTCCGAAAAAGATTCGAACCATCTACATCTGAATTGTATGCCAATTAGGCTATAATTTAAAAATTATAGTCAAATTTCAGTCAGTGACTGAATAAAATTTTACAGTTTTGAATAAATGAGTTTTTACTTTGGGAATTCATAAATAATTTCCATCCTATCTTTTTTAATGTACTAAAATGTCAGCAGAGTAATGAAATAGATATATGAAAGGCGAATATTTCATAGAATTGATACTGATGATCTGTAAACGATTATTTTGAAAATAATCTTAAACTAAGCAAGGCTGATCACCAAAAAATAAAAATTTAAGTTGAAAATTTTGTACCTTTTAAACTAGGAAAGTATCCTTGTAATTATTGTCATGAAATTCCTTAGCCAACCCTGTCTAAAGCAGCTTGGCCCCAAATCTACTAGGAGAAGTCTCTAGACGCTTCCGAAAATTCCATCTCTCTGCCCGTTCTAGCCATTTCTAGAGTGTCAGCGAGCATTAGTCCATGCCACGCTACTTTAGACAGGGTCGGCTTAAGAATTTCATGAAATTATTATATTCTTCATCTGTATCTTACTTTCATAAAAGCAAACTTTTTAATATTGATCCAAATTTTAAAATTATTGTATCAAAATCCTTATCAAATTTTAAACAACTTTTAAAAATCGACGTCAATTTCACATTTTTCCTAATTTTAGAGGAGAAAATTTAAAATTTTGTGCTACGTTTGAATAAGACGACACCTCCCTCTTTCTCTGCATGTACAGAGTGGCCCAAAAGTCTGGAAACGGCCAATTATCTCGTAAATTGCTAGTCCTAATTGTACAAAATTTGGGGTACACCTATATGAAATTTTTTGTAAAATTTAAGCTTTATAAGGAGATGAAAGCCTATTGATTTTATAAAATTAAATAAAAATGGGGAGTTAAGGGGGGTTAAAATATTTAAAAAAACAAACTTACTTTTGCATCAAGTGCGCAGTACACCACTTGCACAGCAAAAGTGGCAACAACGATAAGTCCTAGGATTTTGTTCATTTTTAAATATCTAAAAAACAAACGCATTAATAATTTTATGTAGAAGGTGTAGTGGCTAGAGTTTAGCAGTGGCGACTCGTTACCAACATTTTAGGGGTTCAAAATTACATAAAATAGATCTCAGTACAGATTTAAAAACTTTAGAAAGATAAACCCTCAATATTTTAGTCACAAGCTGCCACTGGATTTTTGACTTTACAATCCATGCCTGCGGAATTAGAATTTCAATAGTTTCGAGTGCTTTTTTTAATTAATATAAGTAATAAAATTTATCCAAATGATACATAGGCACAAAGGTATAGTTCTAATAACAGTGTTGTGCCTAAAGTAGCAATGTAAAACAGTTGCAAAGCCTGTATAGAGCAAATTAATAATAAATTAAACAATTGAGTAAAAACTGCCAATAATAAAAAAAAGGAATAATAAATTAATTAAAAAATTTATATAAAACTTACCTAGATTGTTGGTAACTCACTACAATATGACTTCATTCTATTTCGTTCACTATTTATATGTTTAAAATTCAACAAAAAAAATTTGTTTACCCAAAAACAGGAAACACATATTGCAGGATTTTAATTTATTTATTTTAATTAACCAGTAGTTGGGTAATTAAATAATTTGATATAAATCTTTTACAATAACTTAAAAAAAATATCATTGTATTATGATGAATGAAAAATATTAAGTAATTATCACCGCGTTAACTTAAATTTACTTCATTATGAATGCAAGAGAGATACAAATCTCTTTTATCATTTTATTTCATTGAAACTTAAATAAAATTCTAGAACTGTGGAAGAAAACAGATTTTGAAAACTAGTTGTAATTTGGAGACTAATAAATAGCCTCTCACAGTATCTCAATATTTATTATTCTTATTTCCCAGTCGAAAATTCTGTATTTTTATGCCACAAGAAAGTTAAATTACCTTTCGGCAATCTTGACCATCATCAAAACCAGAATACAAAAATACGTTTTTTACAGGAAAACAATGCTTTTAAGAAAATATTGCAGTACTTACAAATAGTGAAATTTAAGCAATAATTAAAAGGTGTATACTATAATAAAATATTTCATATTATTATTAATAAAGTTATGGAAGATTTTTGATTGCAGAAAGAACGTTAACAAAACATTATTTGTAAGATAGAATATTAGTAAAAAAACATTCTGGAACATTCTTACAGTAGCAAGAAATGAAAAATGCATTCTTCCAATAAATTCCTATTAAACAACTTCTAAGAAAACAAATCTAGGAATTTTTCCAGGTATGGTACATATTTTAAACTCTCCTCCCTTCCTTCTCTATATAAAAAAAAATATGTAGCAAGTGAAATGATTTATTGTCTAAATTTTATACACAGTTAAAACTGAATGAAGCATTGTGTGTTTCTTTGATATTCGGAAGAATTTAATATATAACGAAATTCTGAAAAAAAGAAAACAAATATTAAAACAATGTTCACAAAAATTTATAAACAAAAATATAGATATTTCAGTAATAAATACCAAGGACTCCCACCTCTTCACTATGTGATACAAGGGGAGGCAAGATTAGGTGCTTACAGATTAGGGAATACACTGGGAAATCTTGACATTAGGCCAGGTCACATGAGTATCTCAAGGTTAGTGATAGGAGACGTGCTAGACATGAGATCAGACCACTTAACCAAGAGGTACTCTTTTAATACTCCCTTTGAGGTTTTAATACAGGAAAGAGCGGAGATCACCATAAGGGAGCCCAATGCCCAACGACAGGAACAAACCTGGTATACAGACGGGTCTAAGACTGCGGAAGGCACTGGGGCAGGAGTATTCTCCAACCCCAGGTTGATCCAACAACGTATAGAACCCACTCACCCAAGGATCTGTACAAACTTGTACAAGGTACAAAGGTGATAGAGTGGGTGCTATGAACTAACATGGGGTAAAACACAATAAGCCAATAGGCTTCAGTGTTATTCGGAGACACATAGTCAGACGAGCCCAGGAAAAAAAATAAATACCAAAAAAAAAAACATAAATTGGAATATCAGTTTACTGGTTTTAATATTTCGGACTAATCAATGATGCCTACCCTTAAAAAGTCTCCTTAATCTTATCGCAATGAAATAATTAATAAAAGTAATGTTTATTAAGGTTTTGTACACTTTCTGTCTCTTTTTGATTTTAGAACATCTTTTATTAAAATTTAATAACATTTTTAGCTTTTCCTGATGCCGGCCATTGTATAGGACGAAACTTAGTTTCTTTTTGTCATTTATTTGTATTAATTTTTAATTTTTTTTATGGGGAATATCATTAGAATACGTTGCAATATTTAGGAGGGGGGGAGCTTGGGCAGGGCAACAAAAATTTATAACAATAATTATAGAATCCCTTGAATGAAAAAGATGTCCATGTGTTCAAAAATTAAACTCCTAGATTCCAAAATCGTAACCAATAAATATTTTTTGTTTGTGACATTTGCGCAAAACGAAACTTTTTTCCATTTTCTCTGATTACTAAATTTTTTAATTTATAATGCTAGGAAGTTTAATAATTTTTTCCAGCTACGTCAATGGGTAATATTAATTCAACTCAGACATAGCAATATATCAAATTAAGACAGAGGTAATGGGTTTTATAGCAAGTTCTGGAAGAATTCTTTTAACTACTATATTATTGAGCCTCTCTGTATATTCAAATCCGTTACAGTTACGACATTTACAGCTTTTGATTATTTATATTACTGATAGAACATATAACTGCTATTGATAGACTTTCCATAGCAAATATTCTAAACATATTAAATAAAACTTATTCACAATCACCTGTACAACAATATCCCTGATATTACTTACCTTTGGGTCTGCGAAATAATTGCATTGGGTCATCACCCATATTTTGTCAACGAAGGTCAGTTTGTTACCTAAAAAAAAAACGTCCAATGATAATGAAAAGAACAAAAACTTATATCATAATTTTAAAACTATAATCAGAAATTAGGAACCGACAGTTTTTATAAAAAAAATTATTATTTTCTACAAAAACTTTCCCAAATTGTAATATTTTGTAGGGCATCTCGAAAACAAAAGTAGGTACATTTAGAAAAATAAATCTAATTCGCATATTTAATGGTGTAAGATCTAAAAAGAAAATTAAAGATATTTAAACCTTTAAATAATTTTTTTAAATATGTTTTTTATAATTTTGACCTTTCATAAACATTTAACCAGGTCTACACATTCTGCGACAAATATTTTGGAGTGTAATTAATTTTTAAAACATATATTTTGAAGTTGAGGTGGATTGTGACGTGTTTCAATGAAAACAAGCTTCATTTTGAACTTTACAACTTAAAATATAAGTAAATATATTGAACAAAAGTATGTTCAAACGACTCTCGAATTTGTACAGTTTTTAAAGGGTAAAAGAAAATTAAAATAAATGCATAAGAATCAAAATAAACATGGTTGTTCTAAGACGAAACAAATTTACATTAAACGTCTTTTGTAGAACCATAAAAAAAATTAATACACGTAACTGAGTTGTACCAGCTTTTACTTAATGAATAGTCATATTATTAAAATGAGAAAAACCAAACATGGTACATTTTCACAAATAAAAGTTACAAATTACATGACAGTTATTTCTTCCTCTGCCAGTTGCAACATATTTAGACTGTGAGTACTTATATATAACATTCACAATATAAGATTTAAGTCAAAGTTTATCACCCTTATTAATTAATTTTGCATCAGGCTGTAAATCAGAAGAACCTTCAACGTTTTTTAATAGTTTTCATATTAAAAAAAGGTATGGAACCTTTAGCATTTTTAAAAGTCGTCTTTTTACGAAAACAAACGACGTACTTACTGAAACTTTGATTGGGTCATCTTCAATTAAAAAAAAAAGTAATACCAGATGGACCATTTTTCTCTTGTTTTTGAGATACCCTAATTTAAATTGCTGTGTAACGTGTTATAATTAATACTAAAATTAATTCAACAAATTAAATACTATTAAAAACTTGCCTAAACTTTTGGTCATTGTGTAACAATGTTCGTATTTTTCCAATGTTTTTTCTGTAAACTGTGGTGGCACATACTTATCAAATATCTTTGAATTAATATTAAAATGAATGTCCATCTAAAAAAAATTATTGTGGCTTCTTAAGGTGCACATAGATATAACGCGCCAGGACTGGGCCGTACCTGTGCCAACATCAGGCCAAGATTTGTCAGATTTGTACAACATTTTTGGGACGATGCAGGCCCGGCCCGTTATAATTAAGATTTTAAATTTTTAGTTTATTTTTAAATAGTTTTCATACATACCACGTCAGATACCAACCACAAACATGCAAGGTATTCCTAAAAATAAAAGATTTTATGTTGAAATTTATAGTTAGCGATAATAATTATAAAAAAAACAAGATATCGTATTATAAGAAAAAAAAAAACGTTACAGGATGTTTAAAATAGGCAGACATATACTTATGGCAAATTCTGTTTATAATACACAATACATAATATAATAATATAATACACGAAAATGCATAATTATTAATATACAGAGTGTCGTATAATTTTATTCCACTTTAAAGTGACTGTAAAGTAAATGCGGTCAAACAGTAGGTTAAAAACTAACTTAACAGTTATGCTATTTAAAGCAAAGCGTATTCATTTGAACAAATTTCCTAATTTTGTGGGTCTAATTCATTTATATATTACCTTCATTCTGTTCGCTTTTCCGAAAACTCCTCGTCTAACATTGTCTATCATTTTTTCTGTAACCCCTGATGCAGTATAACATTTGTTTCGAAATTTTAAAATGTCGGGTCTTGTTTTTGCCTTATAATCCTATAAAAACAAAAAAACTATAAACAAGAAACTTAAAATAAACACATACAGGTACTACAATTAGCCATATTCTTTTTTTTGTATACAGTGTGTCTAATTAAGTTGGAATTTGAGTTGAGAAAAAAATTGAATCGGATATCAAAATTAATTAGTCATTTTTTAAAAAAATTAACATATTTATATTAGTGGAATTAATAGAAATTTGTTTAATTTTTCCTAAATGTCACAGATATAATATGTTGAAAACTGTCTCTGATATGGTTTTCAAAACGTTTTCAGATTGGGCTTCGAAATAAACAACTTTTTCTCTTTTTTAGCTAACTGTGTCGCCAATGATTTGCGAAATCACGAAAATGAAAAATTTAATCAATAAATTATACATTTTAACTTATTTTTGAAATACTTACATCAATTCCAAGAGTACAGCATACAAGTTGTAACGAGCACAATAATAGAACTAATTTAATTACACCTTCCATGTTAAAAGTTCTATGTTACTTTTTGTCTGAACTTTAACAAAAAATAGGTAATTAAAAACTTTGAAACTAAATGTACTAATTACAGAAGTTAAAAATTATTTGCTTCCTTTTTGCATGGAGTTTTAATGATTCTTAAGACCTCTAGCTTTTTAAGTAATAGAAATATGGGATAAAACAGGATTTCATTTATCTGAACCGGACGTTTATATTTAATAATTGGTAACAATATTTATCAAAAATAAAATAAATTATTTTCACTTTTAAATATGCATCCGGTATTGCTTAAATTATCTGCAGCAACGGTTTGTATTTTTTATCTCTTTCTAGTAAAATTTGATTAAAGGTATTAAAATAAGTAAGTCAATAGTGTTTCGAATATTCTTTCTATTCTTTTTGCCGTCTTTTCTATTATTTGTTCGTACCTTTTATCATCCTTTACCTAAACAGACTTTTTTATCTTTACTCTAATGTCAAATGTGATATAAGAAGTCAGTATCATTTTTAACAAAATTAATTCCTACATTTCCAAGCATTTTTAGTCAAAATTGGCCAACTCTATCATTCTTCTACCTACCATTTTATTGCAGTTATCTTATCCTATCAACAATTTGGGACTCTCATCGAAATAACAAGACATTTTCTTTAGCTGTCATTATTTCGTTAATATCAACTATTTGTCTTGGTACAATAAGGGTCTTCATTCATTTGTTTTTATCTGAAATATCTAAACTATATATTATTCAGTCATTATCCTGATGGGAGATGAACACATGCGATGGATTATACGTCACAAGCGGGGCGCAGTCCTTATCGTGACGTGTTAATTCCATTCGTCCATTTGTAGCATATTGGCTCTTTTTTACTTTCCTATCTGTATACAGATATAAGGAAAGTATAGGAATCATGATTTTTTTCGACCTCGAGTTTTCGACGGATTTTTACGTTTTGAGGTCCCCTGAATCCGTTTTGACTATTTTCGCGATGATGTCTGTGTGTGTGTGTGTGTGTGTGTGTGTGTGTGTGTGTGTGTGTGTGTGTGTGTGTGTGTGTGTGTGTGTGTGTGTGTGTGTGTGTCTGTGTGTGTGTGTGTGTGTGTGTGTGTGTGTGTGTCTGTAGGTCGCATAACTCATGAACCGATACACAGAAAAACACCAAATTTTAAACTTAAGCTTTTTTTCAGCGTCCAATGAGCTGATTAGATTTTGGGCAGAGTCGGAACATCTGGGGGGGTACTTTATAGGTGGTCATTTTTATATTTTATGGAATATATCTGTTATTTACGTTTGGAGAAGAAAATTCTTCAAATAAAAGTTACTTCTTATATAATTATCTATAATTTTTGTTTTATGCAAAATTTTCCTAAAATGGTCCGTATTCGAGAAATTTGACAAAATGTAAAAAAAAATAATTTTTTATAAAAATTGTTCAAATAAAAGTTGTTTGTAATATAATTCTCTATAATTTTTATCCTATAAATAATTTCTCTAAAATGGACCGTATTCCAGATATTTGAGAAAATGTGTAAATTTCGAATTTTGAAGAAAACTCAAAAACGGATAAAGGAAAAAACATTAAATTTTAAACTTAAGTTTTATTTCGACCTGAGGTGAACTGATTAGATTTTGGACAGAGTCGGAACATTTGGGGGGGTACTTTATTGGTGGTCATTTTTATATTTTATGGAATATATTCGTTATTTACGTTTGGGGAAGAAAATTCTTTAAATAAAAGTTACTTACAATATTATTATCTATAATTTTTGTTCTATGTCAAATTTTCCTAAAATGGTCCGTATTCGAGAAATTTGACAAAATGTAAAAAAAATATTTTTTTATAAAAATTGTTCAAATAAAAGTTGTAATATAATTCTCTATAATTTTTATTCTATAAATAATTTCTCTAAAATGGACCGTATTCGAGATATTTGAGAAAATGTGTAAATTTCGAATTTTGAAGAAAACTCAAAAACGGATAAAGGAAAAAACATTAAATTTTAAACTTAAGTTTTATTTTGACCTGAGGTGAACTGATTAGATTTTGGACAGAGTCGGAACATTTGGGGGGTACTTTATTGGTGGTCATTTTTATATTTTATGGAATATATTCGTTATTTACGTTTGGGGAAGAAAATTCTTTAAATAAAAGTTACTTACAATATTATTATCTATAATTTTTGTTCTATGTCAAATTTTCCTGAAATGGTCCGTATTCGAGAAATTTGACAAAATGTGCAAAATTCTGATTTTTAAGAAAATTGTTAATCTAAAAGTTGTTTGCGATATCGATCTCTATAATTTTTGTTTTTAAATGACTTTTCTAAAATGGACCGTAATGGAAAAATTGGAGGAAAAGTGCTAAATTAAAATTTTTCAGTATTTTCGTTTTCAATGAATATCTATAGAAAAATGTTTCGAGGTAGATGTATGTGGAAAATGTATATATTTAGTTTATCCTCTAAACATTTTTAGAGATGCTGCAATAGGTTAACTAGATAGGAAAGTCATGTGTTGGACACATCAGATTTTTTATATTTTCTATTGTTGATTATACATTGATGCGTAACTATTTTAATATAAAAAACTGCAAAGTGTAATCGATAGTGTGGTGCAACCATTTCCGCCATTACTTTTATTTCAGTATTGAATTATTATTAAAAAATAGTTTTCTACTGACGTCAAACTAAATAAATATACATTTTTTTTATTTTTACAAACAAACCTTCATAAAAATACATAGATAGCAAGACAGCCCAACGTATATATTTATTAATTTTTCAGTATGTATCCATATGATCTTAAAAAGAGCAAAACAACTTTTTCCATGCAACGTAATAACTTTGCGACATATATATACGAATCTTCTAAAAGCTACACGTAACTTTTTAAATCATTCCTGGCATTAAATCGATAAAACACGAGAAATGGGACAGTATTCAGAAAAATGAGTTTTAAAATAGTTTGATTTTCGAGAAATGAATTATATTTATTAAAAAAACTATTTCGGGGGTAAAAATATGGATATTGTTAAAATTCGAAGAAATGGCAGCATAATGGTAAGGTAGAGTAAGTTAGGTATTCAGATTATTAAAGAAAGAACAATACCTTAAGTCATGAGTCACCAAGCGCTTTCGGAAAACTATTTTGTCACTATTTTAGTTCCACTTTTTTAAAAAGTTAGTTTTAGATGTATTGTTCATCTAAAAAGCAATAAACAAAACCAATTTAACTTGTTTTTATTGATTAAAATACAACATATTTAAAGTATATTTTATACTAATTTTATATAATCCAAATTTTAATCCATACAGTTTAAGGATAAACGAAATTCTGAAAAATAAAAAATAAATAAATACATGCATATTTAATTAAATTAAAAAATATTATAGATTAGATTTGCTTTCGTTAGGACTGTGAGTCATGGTTTGCAAGGCAAGTCACTTGCCAAGTTTTTGTGCTAGTGAAAAGGTGATAGAAAGTACGGCAACATTGCAAATAGGGGTGGAACTATGAATGGTAATTGTTCATAGCTTCACCCCCATAAAGACAATTAATTTAGCCACCATAATTATAATTATACACGAAATAAAGGAAAACGAGCAATGTAGTGGGGGTGCACCAATCGAAAAACCAAAGAACATTTAATATTTCAACCCTCTTCAAGTCCCCATTTTAATTTTTTCAGAATTAATACGTTTTATCTTTATATAGAGCTCGATATTTACTAAAAATTTCATGTTAATATCCTTTTTTGTGTTTAATTTACAATTTTTTTTTATTTCAGTTCCCCTTAAGCCCCCATCAAAATCAATATGAATTTTCAATTTTTTTTACCGATTGCAGTAAATATATATTTAGATTGCTCTATAGATTTTGAAATTCTCTTAGTAGGTACTAAAAACTTTTATTTTAATCTTACCGACGTCTTGTTACCATTCAAAGAAGGTGTTTTTTACCGTAAAACCAAATATAAAGAAATATATGTACGATTATAATAACATTATGTTCATACCTCTGGATCAGTGCGATGAAGACAATTGGTTGCATTCCAAGCCAAAACAGTAAAATTCTTCTCACCTAAACAACAATAAAAAATATTATTTTAGTAAAAACACTTTACTCAAGAATTAGTTTTGTAGATTGTTGGTATTACAAGTAAAATATATTTAATTGATATAACTATACATATAATTGTGCTTAAAATATTTGATGGCTGACAACAATAAACAATATTTTACAATAGTGATTTGAAACTTAGAAAAACGCCCAAGAAAATTAGTAAAATGTATTAAATAATACCTAAAAAAAGTTGTATCAAACAATAACAAAAGTATCAATACAACTAAAAATAGAATGTAAGAAGTAAAAATAGGTTAAATAAACATCAACCCGATGGGCAAATCCCTAAGGATATTAGTGAATACAAGAAAGATTTATGACACGCACGTAGATTTACATTTAAGAGAAAAATCATGCACATTAATAGTGCCAAAAGGACCTTCGTCTATATTTTCGTTATTGTTAATCCAATTTGCTTAAAACAAACGACGTTGTGAAAAAAACGTGGTATAGATTAACTACAAAAAGAAAAATCATGCGCAATAACATTGTCAAAAGGACATAAGTATCTATATCTTCATTGCTATTGGTCTGATTTACATGGAACAAACAGTATTATGAAGGACACAAATATAGATTAACGTTGAAGAGAAAAATCAAGTTAATAAAGTGGTAAAGGATAGTACTCTAACTATTATACCGTGCGAAATTATAACAGCCAGGTTGTCCAAGTGGTTAAGGCGTCTGATTTAAGCGTTGATCTCCGAGAAGAGGTGTAGGTTTGAATCCTACACCTGGCAATTATTTTTTTCTTGAAGTAAATAAGCGTATTAGCATTATCAGACTTCAATAAAGTTTAGCATGTACATTTCTTCTATGATCAAAGCAAATGTAAGTTATTCATTCAACAAGTCTTAGAGCTAAAGTCATTATAGACAGAAAGATTTAATAATAATCATATGTTCTAATTGTAGTATAACCAGGGCTTAACAGTCCAACTTAATTGGTATCAATATGTATGCGACACAGTTCCAATCCTGCGACACAAAGTCTATCTTATACATTTCGTATGGTAGGGTTTTCGTCCTGCCGTTATACCACTTGTATTAGGAATTTAATATGTACGTTTCCTATAAATAGTAACATACGAATGAGTGTTGTTATTCAACACAAACCTAAATACATTATACTAATAAAAAATATAAATAATAAAAAGTGGGTAAAACTCTAGTAGCCATACAAAGTGTGATAAAGTACAAGGGTGTATCAGGATTTTGGAAGATCAAAGAAAGGTTTATAAGGATTTATAAAGGATTCATAGGACTTTTGATGGAAGAATAATGTTTAAGGATTTAAAAGAAAGTATGAGGATGTTGCTATATAAAATTTAGATCATTAGTTCTCCTCTCGCATGAACTACTAAGAAAAAACAAATCATAGACAATAACTAAAAAACAAAACAATTGGTCTAACTTTTTCTTTTCTTACCACTTTCTCGGGCTTCATCAATACAACGCATGAACATTTTGGCAAATTTTCCTTTTAGCTTAGGTGGTTCTATATCCAAAAATAAATTTTTATTACCATGAAGACTTGGAACACCGTCGTCACTGGGAATAAACTAAAATACAAAAATATAAACTTTTACAATTTAAAACTATATTTTGAAATATTCTTTATATTTCTTAAAAGATTATAGAATTAAATATATATATATAAATTTTATCAAAACGGGCATACTTACTGCATCAGAATGTAACCAAAGGCATGCATTATATCTCTAAAAATAAATAATATTAGGCACATTTGTATCTGTAACGTGTGGAGGGTGGGCCACCCCCACGGCACTTAGGCCTTCTTAGGCCCATTATGCATAATATTAGGCACATTTAAATATCATAAAAGAATGAAAAATGTTCGGAATAAAATTAGGTAACTTATATCTTTCAAAATGCTGCCATATTTATGATTATAAATGAACAATTTATCTATCTTTACAAAAAATATTTAAATTTAGAGATATTCAGAGGTGATTATTAGTGGATTTTGCTGTTTCTCCATTTTCTAGTTATTTTTATTACAGGACTGAAGGTGATACGACGAATTTTTTAATGAACTAAACAGTTGGAACAGCTTGAGTAGCAATATTTCCACCCTATTAATAAATGTTAACGGAATTTCCTACTTTAACGTTTAAAAAACAATACGAAATGTTTTTTTCTTTAGCGGTCTTTAAAAAACAACATTCTAATAATAATGATGATAGATATTACTTTATAAAATATTTATCTATTGAAAATCAGTCTTATGTTAAATAATTTTCAATTTTTAAATATTTTTGCAAATAAAAATAATATTGCATGTCTCTGTGGAATATTTGGTCTTTCAAAAGGTTTACCATAATGTATATATTCTTTTCGTCGAAATTTCCATTCCTTGTATTGTCTATATCTGTATCAGTTACTCCAGTTAAAATTGAGCATTCATCATGTAGGTGTTTAACTACTTCAGTCAATTTTGGACCATAATCCTAAAACGGTTGCATTACGTATAAGCTTTTATTTTGCAAAACAAACCCTATTGAAAAAAGTTATAGAAACTAGAAATTTAGTATTTTTACCTTGAGAGGCAATGAAGCAAATATTGGTGTAAAAAGTATCACTAAACATAAAAACTTCAGCATCTTCATGTTGGTCTGCTTGAAATTTTTTTTATGAATTATTTAAATACGAGTAGTATATAAAGTATTTATATTGTAATAATTCGTGAGCGATATCTGCTTTACTAATATCAATATATTAAAATAAACTTTTAAAATACTAATTGTAGTTGTAGGCCAAAAATAACAATTTGACCTACTTGCAAATATTTATATAAATTATATTATTATAGTACAAGGCAATTAGGTATACACTAATAAGTCATTGGCCTAAAAAAACAATTTTGCCTATTTTTAAAAATTATATTACAGTATCTTAACATTCTGACTTATTAATGTAGTATTTCTAGTCAATAATTGGCTATAAACAAACAATAAATGATAAGTAGATACCCAAGCACCAATAATCAAAAAATGGGCTTTTATAAACAGTTTCTATATCATAGGTACTATTTAAGTATTGGTGGCACTACTCGAGTAAATTGTACTTAAAATTATACTCGAGTAATTAAAATACTCAGTAATTAGTACTTGTAAGTACTTTTATCCTGATAGGACTTAAAAAATTTCAAATACTTTATATTTGAATGAAAATATTAAGATTTAAATAATTTTATTTTCTGAGGTGCATTAAACGAACCTTCAATAATAAATTCAATGAAAATGGGCATTCTTAGTGATTTTTATAAAAACTTAAGAACCATTTCTATCAAATAAGTCATTAATATTATTTTAAGGTTACTACTAATATTATTAATGTTAGTTTTAGCTTAGTAATGACATCAATTTGGTCACGTGGTATACACGTATTGTTGAAGACCTTTTGACAAAAAAATAAACAATTTTAATGAGTTCGTTTTAGAAATAAATATTCTACAAAGACATTTTCTCATATAAAACATCTCCATAAAACTTTTCCACCTCAGGTTAATCCAATTTTTGACAAAAATTTTGATGTCAAGAATATTTATATTAATATATTATGCATTTAACAAGATGGCTGTCTGGGTAGCTAGCTAAATATGAAAGATAATAAAAATGCAAATGGGAATGGTTTAGTGATCGTCCTAGTAGAACTCTGTGACCATGTAGACGTATGAATTGAATGAATGAGAAGGAGTAGAGCATCAAAATGGTGGCTTATGAAGCTACAGTGCTGCCCTACGATACTACGATACTCAGAAGGTTGGGTAGACTAGAACACACACTAAACTATAAAGAATGTGCTTGAACCACTTGGGGGGAAGGGGAGTAAAACAGAGAGATGTTTTAAAGGGTAAAAAACAAGATTTTTAGGATTTTTAGGAATCTAATCAAATATGATTAGAAGGTGACGTTTATTTTGAAGTTTTGATTGGAAACTGGAAGGAATTAAAACTTTAAAATACACGTATATGTAGATAATATTACCTAATTTATTTTGACAAAAATTTAATTTTTTAACAAAGTTTTGAAAATTATAAGGAATGCTGTATTCATCTTAAAATGTTAGTTTTTGTATTTACTCAAAAAAATATAAGAAACACAGAAACAATTTTCTGTGTCGACCTTTGTTTTGGGTCTAAGCTCTAAGGTTACAACTTTATGAGGAAAAATAAAAAAAAACAATTCAAATAAAAATGATTTTTATTAGTTATTAGTTTTATTAATTAATAAATATTGACTTATCGTAAATTTAACACCCTTATATATATACTAGAAATGATGCTACGTTATTAAAAATATTGTAGCACAAAAACGGCGTAGTAATAAGCTCCTAAAAGATCTCCAGCTGTAGTAAATACATCAAATATCGCGGTTGTAACTAAAGTAAAAATAAATCTAATTCTTGTGAACAATCGATTAGATGAATATAATTTAAGTGAAAAGAAATATTCTTTGAAAAATCTTCATAAATACAACTCGTATAATTATCCACGATTATTATTATTAATATTATTATTATTATTGTATATATGGAATATATATGGAAAATAATAAACTACTGTCTTCTTCTGTCTAAAAAGGCAGCCGATACGATAGCTCTGTCTGCGTAATAACAAACACGATCTGAATAATTGTAATAAAAATTAGTCTAATTATAAATGAATGGATTGCTCTAGTATTTTTTTGCCGTTGGTGTGAAACCAACACATTATTAAAAACACCTTCACACGCTGAAACGGAAAGATGAGTTTTCTGCTATTTTCAAAAAATTTTAATTTGTTTGTAATCGTCCCTGTTTTTTTTTAAATTCTGACTGCACCCGAAGATGGAAAAGTTTTTCGAAACATATGTAGTGCAGTGTTAAACAGTAGAAAATAAAAACGACCAAATAAACCAAGGAAATTTTTACTTTCCTATCTGTATACAGATATAAGGAAAGTATAGGAATCATGATTTTTTTCGACCTCGAGTTTTCGACGGATTTTTACGTTTTGAGGTCCCCTGAATCCGTTTTGACTATTTTCGCGATGATGTCTGTGTGTGTGTGTGTGTGTGTGTGTGTGTGTGTGTGTGTGTGTGTGTGTGTGTGTGTGTGTGTGTGTGTGTGTGTCTGTGTGTGTGTGTGTGTGTGTGTGTGTGTGGGTGTGTGTGTGTGTGTGTGTGTGTGTGTGTGTGTGTGTGTGTGTCTGTATAACGCATAATTCATGAACCGATACACAGAAAAACACCAAATTTTAAACTTAAGCTTTGTTTCAGCGTCCAATGAGCTGATTAGATTTTGGGCAGTGTCGGAACATCTGGGGGGGTACTTTATAGGTGGTCATTTTTATATTTTATGGAATATATCTGTTATTTACGTTTGGAGAAGAAAATTCTTCAAATAAAAGTTACTTCTAATATAGTTATCTATAATTTTTGTTTTATGCAAAATTTTCCTAAAATGGTCCGTATTCGAGAAATTTGACAAAATGTAAAAAACATAATTTTTTATAAAAATTGTTCAAATAAAAGTTGTTTGTAATATAATTCTCTATAATTTTTATTCTATACATAATTTCTCTAAAATGAACCGTATTCGAGATATTTAAGAAAATGTGTAAATTTCGAATTTTGAAGAAAACTCAAAAACGGATAAAGAAAAACACATTAAATTTTAAACTTAAGGTTTATTTCGGCCTGACGTGAAATGATTAGATTTTGGACAAAGTCGGAACATCTGGGGGGGTACTTTATGGGAGGCCGTTTTTATATTTTATGGAATATATCTGTTATTAATGTTTGGAGAAAAAAATTGTTCAAATAAAAGTTACTTCTAATATTATTATCTATAATTTTTGCCTTATGTCAAAATTTCCTGAAATGGTCCGTATTCGAGAAATTTGACAAAATGTGCAAAATTCTGATTTTTATGAAAATTGTTGAATTAAAAGTTGTTTGCGATATCGATTTCTATAATTTTTGTTTATACATGATTTTTCTAAAATGGACCGTAATAGAAAAGTGCTAAAATTAAATTTTTCTGTATTTTCGTTTTCAATGAATATCTATAGAAAAATGTTTCGAGGTATATGTATGTGTAAAATGTATATATCCTCTAAACATTTATAGAGATGCTGCAATAGGTTGTACAAAATAACCGGAAAATGCCTATAATAACTAGATAGGAAAGTCATGTGTTGGACACATCAGATTTTTATTTATATAAAATTAATAAAAACGGCTTACTTGTTTCAATAGAATCATTTATTAATCATTTAAAAATTATGTTTATTTTCCTTATTTTTTTATAATATTATAATAGCTAGTAATTAATTGTTTAGTTAGTTAGGTACTTGTTACTTTCCTATCTGTATACAGATATAAGGAAAGTATAGGAATCATGATTTTTTCGACCTCGAGTTTTCGACGGATTTTTACGTTTTGAGGTCCCCTGAATCCGTTTTGATTATTTTCGCGATGATGTCTGTCTGTGTGTGTGTGTGTGTGTGTGTGTGTGTGTGTGTGTGTGTGTGTGTGTGTGTGTGTGTGTGTGTGTGTGTGTGTGTGTGTGTGTGTGTGTGTGTGTGTGTGTGTGTGTGTGTGTGTGTGTGTGTGTGTGTGTGTGTGTGTGTGTGTGTGTGTGTGTGTGTGTGTGTGTGTGTGTGTGTGTGTGTGTGTGTGTGTGTGTGTGTGTGTGTGTGTGTGTGTGTGTGTGTGTGTGTGTGTGTGTGTGTGTGTGTGTGTGTGTGTGTGTGTGTGTGTGTGTGTGTGTGTGTGTGTGTGTGTGTGTGTGTGTGTGTGTGTGTGTGTGTGTGTGTGTGTGTGTGTGTGTGTGTGTGTGTGTGTGTGTGTGTGTGTGTGTGTGTGTGTGTGTGTGTGTGTGTGTGTGTGTGTGTGTGTGTGTGTGTGTGTGTGTGTGTGTGTGTGTGTGTGTGTGTGTGTGTGTGTGTGTGTGTGTGTGTGTGTGTGTGTGTGTGTGTGTGTGTGTGTGTGTGTGTGTGTGTGTGTGTGTGTGTGTGTGTGTGTGTGTGTGTGTGTGTGTGTGTGTGTGTGTGTGTGTGTGTGTGTGTGTGTGTGTGTGTGTGTGTGTGTGTGTGTGTGTGTGTGTGTGTGTGTGTGTGTGTGTGTGTGTGTGTGTGTGTGTGTGTGTGTGTGTGTGTGTGTGTGTGTGTGTGTGTGTGTGTGTGTGTGTGTGTGTGTGTGTGTGTGTGTGTGTGTGTGTGTGTGTGTGTGTGTGTGTGTGTGTGTGTGTGTGTGTGTGTGTGTGTGTGTGTGTGTGTGTGTGTGTGTGTGTGTGTGTGTGTGTGTGTGTGTGTGTGTGTGTGTGTGTGTGTGTGTGTGTGTGTGTGTGTGTGTGTGTGTGTGTGTGTGTGTGTGTGTGTGTGTGTGTGTGTGTGTGTGTGTGTGTGTGTGTGTGTGTGTGTGTGTGTGTGTGTGTGTGTGTGTGTGTGTGTGTGTGTGTGTGTGTGTGTGTGTGTGTGTGTGTGTGTGTGTGTGTGTGTGTGTGTGTGTGTGTGTGTGTGTGTGTGTGTGTGTGTGTGTGTGTGTGTGTGTGTGTGTGTGTGTGTGTGTGTGTGTGTGTGTGTGTGTGTGTGTGTGTGTGTGTGTGTGTGTGTGTGTGTGTGTGTGTGTGTGTGTGTGTGTGTGTGTGTGTGTGTGTGTGTGTGTGTGTGTGTGTGTGTGTGTGTGTGTGTGTGTGTGTGTGTGTGTGTGTGTGTGTGTGTGTGTGTGTGTGTGTGTGTGTGTGTGTGTGTGTGTGTGTGTGTGTGTGTGTGTGTGTGTGTGTGTGTGTGTGTGTGTGTGTGTGTGTGTGTGTGTGTGTGTGTGTGTGTGTGTGTGTGTGTGTGTGTGTGTGTGTGTGTCTGTGTGTGTGTGTGTGTGT